TAAAATGCACTGAAATATATTTTCCTCAAAGAGAGACTATATTTCTCTTTTAAATACTGAAGATGTCATGTTTTCCTTTTTGTTTTTGGTTCAAATACATCATACTGTTCAATATACAGTGAATATACTTAAAATATTATAATCCTTATGTTTGAATATACAGACAGAGAGAGATACATAAAAATAATTCCAACCTGCTGTCGAAGGCCATGCAATGTGCCAATTGGTTTACCACGTGGCATTCTATCTTCTGGATACAAATCTATATCATCACCATGACTGCTGGCTGCATAAAATGCCAAAACTCCTTTTGCTTCCAGAAGGCCTTGTTCTAGAATAGTCTTCAACATTTTCTGAGCATCATCAAAAAGCCGTTTTGCTTCTTCACCTTGAAACACAAAAAATATAGTGCTTAGGAACAGTCAAGTTAATCCTTTCGACACGGGTACCTCTTTAAACACTTTTCTGCACAAGTCACTGTGTTACATTCAAAATTTAATTAAGCATCTTTACTATCAATGTATGCAAATGAAATTAACATTATAATGTATGTTATGATTTGAAGTGTTAAGTCCTTTTTTTCAAAAGAAACTATTAAAAACTACTTAAAATATCAGACGTGTTGTCACATGACCCACGAGCTATGAAAGTTCTCACTTTGGCACTCTGTAACTTCAATAATATAATGCCAGTTGTGTAGATGTATGCCTAGACAATAAAATGTTGACTTAACCTATTGACATATACATTTCAAAGTTCTCTGGATAAATGCAATTAAAACAAGTAATAACTTTTGTCAACCCCTGACTGGTACACTCCCACTTTCAACAGATTTGTTTGGACATTATGGCCTACATGTAGAGGTTACATACACAAGTATGTAGTCAATAGAAAGAGCTCATTTTACACTATAATCCAACAACATTTATTTTGAAACTGGCATGCAGTTTTCGTCAAAGGGTACATGCAATAGCCAACAGTATTGTTGGCTGTTTGACCAACCATAGCACTTATGGTTGTTTCTTACCTAAATATGTTATAGTTAGAGATACAGTTAAATGGTATTCAGGTATTACTTTTACATTTTAGTTAATTACGTATTATTTATGTTTTAAAATGTGTAATTGAAAGGTTAAAACATTTTTTAAATATACAACATACTTTGCATCAGTTCTCAGGGCTTATGATATTATGCGGTGCATGAAAATTTTGTTGATGATAATGTTATATGCCCCAAGGGCACCATTGACTTGTGTCTAGTTGAATACTAAATGGTAAAGGACAAGAAAGGAAAATAAAACATTAAAAATTAACTATAGGTGAAAAGGAAAAGACCTGAAATTACGATTATAATCAAAAGTAGATCTTTAAACATATTCTACAAAACAAATTAAAAGATTTGTACTTTTTCTATTTCCTAATTTTAATGATTTCATTGCATTGTACATTGATGATAATAGCTAGAGTTAGTGATATGGTAGAGAAAATGAAAAATAAAATATAAACATTTACCTTAAAAAAAAAAAACTTTTGATATTCATTTAGAAGGTTCTAAAGGTTATGTAAATGAAAAATATAAACTACAAGATGAAGAATAGTATTTGTATACTTAAAATGAAAATAACCTTGCACTAAAACTATTCAATGTTTGAGTGTATACAACTGCTATAGATAACATATTTTTATTAGAAACACAATTAAAATAATGCCATTTTTGTGTACAAGATAATTATCATCTTTAATAAAATACTATCAGGCTTTGTGAGGATATCTCAGAGTTACTGTATGTGTTGCTGTATAAATGTCTTTCCTCAGTCGAGGTGATGGGAAATATGTCACTCCATTTGGAAACTGTTAAAAGTTGTTATACGAAACTTTTGAGTAAACTTAGATACTTGAAAAAATGAAAACCAGTCAGGGGATGTGCATAGTTAAAATAAATTAGAAACTTTGGAGAAATGTATGGATTAAAACACAAATATATCAAAGAAAATTATATGTGAAATAAACAATAATAAATATGCACATCTTACCACCTGACCGAGTTCCTTCAGTGAGATACTACACTAGATCGCTAAACTTCTATCATCATGCCTACTTATATATAATTAGTAAGGATTTTTATGCATGTATTAGGTGTTTTAATTAAAAATTGTGTATCGTAGTTTCTAAATAATTATCAGAACATAATCACAGTTTTCAGAAATGTGTTAATATTTCAACATAAAGCACCAGCAATTTGTAAAAAGGAAGAAAGAGAGTACAGAGAACTATAACAAGTTTAAAACATGTATTCCATAAAGTTGAGAGAATGTTGAGTGAAGTACAAAGCATTTATCATGTGAAGGTCACATCTTTATCAAAGCCTGTATAATGTTAACAATTTTTCAATAAATATCAAAGAGAGCTACCGAAATTTTCTTCATTGAAAAAATGACATCATATTTTTGCACAGACAAGGCACACCTAACAATATCTTTTATGATACCCACCAACTGTAGTATCTTTAAAGATTTTTGGATATCCCCTGTTTGGATACTTTCCTCGAAGCTGCCATACATCAAAAAAGGGTTTCCAATCAATATAGGGAACAAGCCGACCGAGTTCATACTTCTTAAATACTTTCGTTCCCAGAAATGTTGGAGTAACTATAAAAACAAGAATTAATAAACTTTACTTCTGAGAAAAAATTCAATTGTACATGGTGGTTACAAAGTCAGTGTGAGTATATGAAAAGTATATACAGCAAACCATGCAACATATGACCCAAGTATTTTCTGCACATGCACAAAAAATCATGGGAGTGCATTTCTACTGCTACTGGAAATGGAACTAGAGAATGCTATTACAGCAAATGTTCATTGTCACTACCATCATTTTTGATTAATGTATCCATCCTGACAATGGTATTGGATACTGCAATGAGTAATCTTTCCCAAGAATTCACCCAAATCTCTGTCACAATAGCATCATTCAGTTAATAAGTTATTTATGATGATAGATCCACACCTTCAGAAAGCCCCAAAACAAGTAGTCAGTACAGGTGAGGTTAAGTAAAGAATGGTGACCACACATGATGGAAATAGCAGCTAAGAATACACTTTACATGATTTCTCATGTATGAAAACAAAATATTCCACCTGAATCATGAATCACAGCATGGTTCATAATAGGGATTACCCATTTCTCCTTCTTTATTATTATTTAATATTGTTTTACCACCCTACAGCAAAAATGGTTGTGAGTATTGTAATAAATATGTAATGGACAATATTACTAAATGCATCACTGTGCATTATAGGGTAGTTTTTAAATTTATCTGACTACCTAGTAAATAACAGTGTCTGTATAACAGTTGACACCCAATCATTTTAATGTAGTCTGTGGTTTATATGGAGCCTCATAATCTACTACATGCATATGTATATAGCCTGCATAAAGGCCATGGATGTAACATAGCAATTATTAACTTCCTGTTGGAACTGTATTAATGTCACATATCACTTGTTTATGTATAAGGTTCCTGCCCTTTTGGACACAACTCTGCTGACAGGATCAGTTTTTGTACCACTGCATGATCAATTTCAGCCATGTTACACAAAAGTCCGAAAGATTATACAGACATCTAGGCTGTCTCCTATAACCTATATTTTAAAAGATAGCACAAATCTAAGTTTCGAGTATCAGATCGACAATCATGGTGATGGCTGATGGTAAGTGTCAAATTACAGCTTACACTGCATGATTGTGCAGATAGAGTAACCATCCTTGAAGCTGACTATAAGAGATGGCAAAAATCGTACAAGCAGAATATGCCAAAAATGATGGAGATTCTAGGCGAAAGTGTGGCAGAAATTTTGTAGCTATATATTTTATTTAGAAAATATTTCGTTTCAGATAAAGTATGCAGCAGCAACAGCCCACAGAGTTTAGGGTCGTCACAGTGGAAGAGGGTTGTAGAAGTATCACAACCAAAACTCCCTCAGAAATGAAGGAGGAAAGGTGTATTAATATAATCAATCCATAATTGTTAATTAACACATTCTCGACCTTGCATTGTCTTATATGGCTTTACAACTTAAATACAAGCAACTATGAAACATATATATATTTATACAGACCTCCAATCCAGTATTTACAGACTACACATATAGCTAGTAACAGCCATCCAATCTCCATGAAGCTGAACCAAAGGTTGTCATTGCCTCGGAAAGAGCATAATACACCAACTATGTATTTCATTAAACTAAACTGTTTCCATGAAGGACATAAAAAAACTAATGAAACAAGATTATTAAAAATTGTTAATTTAAAAAGGGAGAATAGGGATCTACAAAACATTACAGAAACAAGATAAGTAGCTTAAAGTGAAAATGGAATCCCAAAAAAAGTAAACAAACAAGTTTAAGGTTTGAGACAGTGTTAACATTATTTCCTCAAACTACAAATCCCTATTTTGACTCCAGGTCTAAAAACTGTAATATTTAGGAGAGTCGAAACAAGGATTTGTAGCTTGAAGAAATAATGTCAATGCTATATCTCAAACCTTAATCTTGTTTACTTTTTTTTTGTGATATAATTTTCACTTTAAACTACTTATCATATTTCTGTAATTTTTTGTAGATCCGTATTCCTCCTTTTTTAAATTATCAATTTTTAATAATCTTGTGTTACATGGTTTGCCATACATACCAATCCAAATACCATACTAACTTTATAACCTCATTATGCTTTAGTTAGTTCCACATATGTTATATGTTTGTCCTTAACTCATAACATTTCAGAAGCACAGAAAACTGTAAAAACTATATAAGTCATAGTTACAAAAACAGAAAACCCAAATAATGCATTTCACCACATTTATATTTCAAATATTCTATTCTACAAAACTGTTCACATCATTATTAGAAAATCATTACTAGGTTGTATAATTCAATTCTTAAATAACCTAGTCTTTAAAGAGTTTGTTTTAATGGTTTGCTATGAAAGTAATGACATTTGATTTTCATTACATCTTCTACTGTTCAAATATGTTTCTTCTCTCATTTTCATACTAAATACCTCTGCAAACGTACTTAACATATTTCTGATATTCTCTACTATTTATGGAAATATGCATTTTACACTGGAAGTTTAATGTTCTTATGGCACATAAGCTCAATATTTTCAATGTATTTCCTTATTTCACTTGAAAGGTAAAAACAAATACCTGGTTTTGGATCAGCAAGCCAGTCAATTGTCATTTTCCTAAGCCTTGCTTTTTCTATAGAAAGATATTTTCTCTCCTACAGTAAACACAATTGATTAAAAACAACTGTCTGTTTCAATTGGTTAGTAATAACAGTAATGTTGTAGTATTCAGTTATTTTCATTGATAAGTTTTAGTATTATTCCATTATATTGGATAATGTTAATGAAAGTTATGATGAAAATCAAACATGTAAAGAATAACTTAACAGTAAAATATCTTGCAACATTTCACTAAAAAGTTTCTTTGTAACATGGTAAACTCAAATAGCAAAGTCTACAGAATGTCAAAAATAAAGGCACATGAAATTCAAGGTCATTTATATGAGATTTTTTATATCTTTCAGTTCTTTGTCTTCAAAGATTATATACTTGAATCTTGAACTCTTATCATATATTATTAACACTTATCAAACTGATCCCTTGGTAACAATTATAATCACTTTGACATAAGGAGATTATTTTCTATAAATATCAAACAATTATAAAATCCAGAAACTTTTATAACATGCCCAATACTTCACTGTGAAAGAATCTTAATTTTATGACCTACCCAATTTTGATGGACTGTGGATTAATAAAAAAATCACTGTAATGATATATTAAGTGTTATGACACATTGAACACTACCATATCAAAATAGATATTTTAAATGGTTACACTAGAATGGCTTATTAATACAAGTAATAAATGACCTTATAACACCAAGTTTGTTATTTTTCTTCTTTAAATGAATACTCAGCTAACAGTACAAAGCTACAAACTAGTATTAAGTTGCCTTTTATACTCCAATACACACTACAGTAATTAAAGTTTCATAACAATGGTTAATATAATAAAACTGTAATAAAATAGATAATGAAATTATCAATAAAGATTTCTAAATTTAACTGGATGACAACATTTAAAGATAACAGAACAACACTTACTTTTAATGTTGCAAAATGTTCCTCCCGAAGTTCCTCATATTCCTCAGTTATTTCTTCCACAAAATCGTTTCTGTTGTTCTGATCCATTAATGAAGAACACTAGACCCCCCCCAAAAAAAAGATATATACAGTATCGTAAAAGCGTGGTCACAAGCCTATTATACTGCTTGAACAATTTAAGAACTTTTTCAATATTTCTCATTCTGCTACATCTGACACTTGCCTACATATATATACAATAAAGAGTATGCGACTAAAATATGCATGACATTGCAAGGGAGCATCTCAAGCATTTTTCACCATGAAGCCTCAAATGAACAACAATTTTCTCAGCCTTGTACTCATCTCCTTGAGATATTTGTTAAAAAAAACACTGAATTTGTTACAGCACAGTTTAATATCCAATTCTATATAACTACATATTATTTTCGGTTTGACAATAGGAGATTACTATTATTTATGCTGCTTCAATACCTCACCATATCCAAGACAAATTACAATACACATGCAAAAATATCACTCAGCCAACCATCCTACTCCTAGTTGGGTAAAAAAATGGCTTGGGAAGGGTGGACATAGAAAGAGGATGAGTTAAGCTTAAAAAAAACAACCTGCCAATCATTCATACTGCACAGTTCAACATTTAGGTTTATAAGGGGGGTAGTCTGGTAAAACTACATTTGAAGGCTTAATACAATGATTTTAGAAACATTTCCCAGGTAATTAGGGACCCGGGAATGTTTTAGTATTTTTCTTTATGTTTTTCTTCTTGCTAATATGAACTTTTGTTACATTTTTGTGAAAGCTACAAAAATATTTCTCTATTTCAAGAAATCAGGCAACGAATGATACTTGGCCCTCATGAACAGGATGATGTTCAATGGTAAGTCATTCATTGTCAATTGTGTAAGATTTAAATAACTGCTTCAGTGGTGAAAAAACACACCAAAAGAAAATCACAAAGATAAACATGTTAATGTATATAAAACAAGTTAAATTGATTGGATATATAAAATATAAATTTTAATCAATAATAAGTAAAAAAATCAAGTTTTACTTTTTCATTTAAAGATAACAATACAATTTATAAAAATTCTATAATGAATTAAACTGTAAAAATAGCTTTGTGTCTGTTGATTCCAATTAAAAAAGCAAGATTATAAAAAGTAAAAGACTTTCTGAATTTCACTTGTCTCAGGGAATAAGCAGATTGAAAAACATTCTTCTTGGCCAGCAATAAAAGTATATAGCATTAATTTAAAGCCAGATCAATTTTAAACAGAGTGAAAAAAAGGACCATCTAACTGGTGAAAAATTCAATTCTTACCACAACAACACTTTTTGAAGCATCTAGAACATGAATTGTTGGTTGACTGTAGCGAGGAGCTATCTTCACAGCTGTATGAGTCCTTTATAGAAAAACAAAATCTTTGCTTATTTTCACATAAAGGATAGAAAACTAAATGGTATGCTACACTGATTCAGTAATTGTGTGGAGAAAAACAAAAACTTTTGTGCAGTGTAAATGTTTGCTTTCCAAACCAAGTTATGAATCAATACTATTTCAGTTATGTTAGTATACACTGTATTATTAAATTACCATTTAACACTTTCACTAAGGGCATCCTTTAGTGTGCATGTCATGAGGTTTTAGTGAGTTACATTCAAAATTTAAAGTACTTTATTATCATGGTATACAATTTACCTTGGTATCAAAATGTAGCTAGTAATTCAAATATTAATATAAGTTCTTAATTTTATAAGGCTATATTAAAAAAAAATCCTCAATTTCCCCTGGTGCAATAACTGTGGCATTTGCTCTCTAGGTATCCCCTCTTCTCTGATTTATTTACCACCACTCCAAGAAGTATGAAATTTAAGATAAATTACTCATTATAATATTTTCATCACTCAGACAAAGCATAATTTTTATAGCCTTTAATCATATTTGATTACAGAGCCATAAAATAGAAAATCAGACCTCCCTTGCCACATCTACCCGATACATCCTAATAGTTCTCTCCAACATTTAATACCATACTATTTATAATTAATAGAAAGCCAAAGTTTAATCTATCAAATGAAGTATTATATTACATTGTTTTCTGTACAGAGAATTGTCTATTTTAATCAAAGTTCAAACTTTATTCCCACAGGAAACACATCAACTAGCATAGCTGAATTTTTAAGGGCTCTTGTCACATAGTTAGAAAACCAGAAAAATTCTGATAGTTATAGGAAATTGTCTGCTTTTTGTGTGTTATTATTCTGTGTTCTTTGGTGCATTATTTAATTAAATAAAAATTATTTAGTACAGTAGTACCATTACCATAAAAAAGTAGGGTTAAGTTTCATTGACAATCAACAGAATAAAGACCCAGGTAAGTAATATATTTCTTGTTTTTCATCTGTATTCTTTATTTATTATTATAAAAGTAACTAAAATGTAAAAATTAGAAACTTTTTAGGTTAGGTAATGTTGAATTAAGTAAATCAAAGAATAATAATAATAGAAATAGATGTATACTGTTATGTTCCATGTTACAGTTTGAAGTCATTCAAGAAAGAAAAAAAATGTAATTTATGATAGATTTACTTCATATTTTTATGGCAGTTAGGGTAAAGACAATAATGGATAAAATGTAAAGTTTTACTGAAAAAACGTTTGAAATTTACTTAGGAGGTTTTAAGAGATTATGCAAATGAAATTTGAGTATTTTCAGTTAAAGAAAAGTATTTTTAATCTTAACATTAAAATCACTTTGCATTCAGAGCAGTCAACACTTTGACTACATATATTCATGGAGAAAGTTTTAGTCTACAAATGATTCTTAATGCTTTCTTGCCAAATCTCATGAGGATACACAAAACATATTAGAAGTTATAGTATGGAAACTCTAAAGGTTAATTTGGGGTCAATTTTTAGGTTGAATTGACCGAGCCCATCATGAAAGAGTTAAGCGTATGTCTAAAATTAAGAATATAAATATTCTGTTAGTTTTCTTTGTTTTGTATTTGGGCTATATAGTAGTTGTTCTGAACCTACTATTAAAAATGGTAGGTGTTAAACTCCTGAAGAGACTGCTAAGTGAAGTTTGAGACAATAAAACAAGTATATCACTAAAAAACAAGCTGCATCTTTTTATTCATCATGAAATATTTAATAACTTTAAAACAGAAGAACAATTAATGGCAACAAAAATTTCAAACCTTGAAGTAGTAGCTCCCCCTATTAAAAGAGGAATTTTCAATCCCATTCTCTCCATTTCTTTTGCTACAAAAATCATTTCATCGAGGGATGGAGTAATAAGACCAGAAATCCCAATGATATCTACAATCATAAAGAAAACAATTACTTTTTTTGATTTATTGTTACTGATTAATTATATTTAATAATACTGAAGCAATGTAATAAACTGTGTATGTGAAACAGGAATGCAAACACAGAAGCCATTACTAATTGAATTACCATCACTGCCCACAGGCAAAAATCATGAATTTTTCTTTCAACTATGAATGTGTGTGTGTGTGTGTGTGTGTCTATTTCATAACTTCAGATTGCTCTCAGAATTCTTAATATATTTATAATTTTTCTTTTAAATCAAAATATGGTAGAGAAAGAAAACAAACTACCAGACTTTTACCTCTTTCTATGCTAGGTAAGTTAATATGAATGAAGCAAGTGCTATCACCACACAAATTGACTTTTCAACATAACCTGTCAATTAGTTTAACTATTATACATATTTGTCTTAAATTCATTAACATGATGATTTAAATATTAGTAGTGCTTGCATGCTTAAAGGAGTAATAATTCCAAAACAAAAAAACTTAACAGTTGTTAAGTTTTGATGATAAGAATGAGTGGGAACTTAGTTCCTTGTCATCCAATCAAAGAGACATGAAATTCTAAGAATTCATTCAAGAAATACAAATGTGTGTGATGAAGTATTTTTACGCAGACATGTTAATCTGAAAAACCTTGTGCAATAAAAAAAAGTTTAGTGTTTATAACTAAAAATACTAGAATGAAAAAAAAGAAACTTACAGAAATGAATAGAAAATAAAATCAAGTTTCTACCTGCTTTCTCTTGAATGGCAATTTTGATAATCCTTTCACATGGTGTCATTACTCCAAGGTCAATTATTCTACAAAAAGCATTTTAATGGGTAAAACATTTAAAGACCTATTAACAACAAATGATAAGCCAAGAAAGATCTTCCCTCCAAATTCAGTTACATGTAGAAGATACTCCAAACAAACCATGAGTTTTCATTATAAAAAGTTCTCTGTTATGCAATATGTTTTTCTTTTTTTTATATAAACACATTGCTATTTTACAGCTTAAAATACAGTTTTGTAGCATACTGAATTGATTTATCTCCATCTTCAAAAGCCAATAAAGAAAAGAGATGCTACTAATTTCTCAGAAAATATGAATAATTAATATTATCAAGATTCTTAGTTGAAAAATAATTTTTCATATACTAATGTTTATCTGTTATATGATTTTATAAGCATGAACATTAAAAATACTTTTCTTCATCTGAACAATCTTAAAGTTCATTTGCTTAATCTCTAAAACCTCCTATATAAGTTTCACACTTTTTTTCAGTAAAACTATATTTTATCTGTTATTTTCTCTACCCTAACTCTATACAAAGTTGGTCAAATTGACCAACCTCGTAACAACCAAAACAAAATCTAAATAAATCTAAATTACTTCAAATGTAACATGAGAGTATAATTGTTTATCGTAACTAGTTGACACACATAGCTTACGTCATGAAAAACTATTTTTTCATTATTTTACCTAATCTAACTTTATCTAACCTAAAAAGTTTCTAATTTTTACATTTATTTACTTTTTTTTTATAATAATAAATAAAGAATACACATGAAAAACAAGAAATATGGTACTTACCTGGATCTTCTTTTTTTGGTGTCAACTGCCAGGTTTATTTGTATACCATGATAAAAAGTACTTTAAGTAAATTTCCAATGGAACTCACTCAAACCTCATGACACACGATAAAGAGATGCCCATAGCAAAAGAGTTAACCCTATCGCCATGAGTATCCTTTACTTGTGTGATTTTAGTGTCTTACATTTATAATTTTATTGAACTACTTTTTATGTTATATCAATTAGTATAGCATAAAATCTTAGCTAATAATCCATATCTTAAAAGCATATAAGTTTTAAGTTCTTAATTCTATAAAGCAATATTTAAAAAAATCCAGAATTCCCCCTAGTATGGCACACATAACATATTTTCTCTAGGTATCTTCTCTTCTATTATTTATCCACCACCCCTCCTGTGACTATGAAATTAAATGTAAATTACTCACTATAAAATAGTCATTGCTCAGACAAAACATAACTTTTATAGCCTTCAATTTTGTTTGATTATAGAACTATCAAATAGAAAATTGGATCTCTCCTGTCACATCCTCTCTCTCAGGATTTGTTAATAGTTCTATCTTACATTTAATTACATATTACCTATAACCAACAGAAAGCCAAGGTTTTCATCTATCAAATGACATATTATATTATGTTGTATTCTGAACAGATAATTGTCAATTTCTCTTGTAATACAACTTTGATTCCCATGGGAATCACAATGGCTAGCTTGGATGAATTTGTAACAGCTCTTGTCGTATAGTTAGAAAGTCAGAAAAATTGTGATTGTTAGAAGAAATTGTAAGTAAAATGTAAAAATAAGGATCTCTTTAGGTTAGTTAAGGTTAGATTATGTAAAATAAATAATAATAATAATATAATAAAAATATTTCACGAGGCACACAAGCAAACAGATTGGAGTAGCTCTTGGGAAGGTAATTCGATAACACAACATGAGCTGCACGTTTCCCAAGTAATTTACAACTTATAATAGCACGAACAGTAGTTAGACATGGTTCAAAGGACAGAAAGACAATAAAATTTAAAAACAGATGTATACTGTTATGTGTTTAAAGCTACTTAGAATACAAGAATGTAGTTTCATGTTACATTTGAAGTTATTCTTGAAAGAAAAATAGGGTAATTTAAATCTATTTAGATTTTTTGTCAGTGGTTATGAGGTTGGTCAAATTGACCAACCGTGTATAGAGTTAGGGTAGAGAAAATGACACATAAAATATAAAGTTTTACTGAAACAAACATTTGAAATGTACTTAGGAGGTTTTAGAGATTATACAAATGAAATCTGAGATTTTTGAGATGAAGAAAAGTATTTTTAATCTTAACATGAAAATCACTTTACACATGGAATATTAAAAACAAATACTCAATATATTCAAGGAGAAATCTTTTTTTAGTTTATTAAAATACTTCCCTAAAAAATATGATTTTTTGTATATGAAAGACTTATAATGTTTAATGAAAGACTGTAAATTTTGTGAAGATATACACACTATATTAAAAGTTACTAGTGTCAAACCTATAAAGACTTTGAAGAATAACAAAATGCTTACGTGGTCTGTCAAATTGACCAAGCCCGTGTGGAGAGAGTTAAAATGAGGATTCATGTATAAGAACATAGCACTTAAATTATCTCTTTAATAATATTTTATATATTAAGTTCTCACCTGAAATTATTGCAACTCAGTACTACACCAACAATGTTCTTCCCAATGTCATGGACATCACCTTTAACAGTAGCAAGGACCACACTGGCCACATAGGGGCTCTTTAAAATTAAAAATATTTAGCATAGATTTCACACTTGTACTACAATGTTTAAGTTTTCCATGTTCATGTTCAACTAGTGTGTTAATTTTTAATACCAGAAATTAAGTGCTAGATACAATTCTGCCAATGATCTATAGAAATATAATGTAAAGACTATATATAAGCACCAGCTAACTTAAACTGTAAGACTACTAACTAGTCATTCTGGTTTTTACAACAATGATCTATCATATCTACATACTGGCTCAATATTAATTTTGTAGAACATATGAAAGTTAGAGGATAAAACACTGAAATAATTTCCACTCATAATTATATATTTTCATTCTAAAAATCTTAATCTGGACACAATCCAAGTGAGAAATTATTTTTAAAAACAAAACATTCACAGCAAACCAAAAATTAGTTTGTAAAATAAACTGAACTCCAACTGTCCTGTAGTCTACACTCATTTATAGTGTTTTCTGAAGTCTAGCTATGAATGGACAAAGTTTTAAATGCCATTCAAAATTCGAATTTTACTGGCAAAAATGAGAAAGATTCAATCCAGATATAAACACCAAGCAAGTCTCTCATTTACAACAGCAGTGATAGTGTAGAGCTTGAAAATATTTTCCACTCTATTGTTAATGAATAAAAACAGCTCTTCAGCAATGTAGATCACTTTAGACAAAATACTTCACCTAATCATGCCAACTAAATACTAACTCATGTTAGTTTTATTCCTGATCACAGACATAGGTTTGAAATATATTCATTACAAAGAACAAGTGTGAGTACAATTTAAAAAAATTAAAAACATAAGAAACTATAAAACACAGACATTGTATCAATATAGATGGCTCTAACAATTTAATTATTTATAATTTCCACACGCAAGCTTTACCAATACTAAGATAACTGATGATTGAACCTAAAATTATTATGTACTATATTGAATCTAAGTTTCAAATGGACAGCAACTGCCTATTGTAGAAACCTACAAATGTAGAGGACGACGTTTCGAAAGTCTTCTGCCTTTCG